AATTCAGTTGGCTTTGGGGAATCCCTTCCCGTTGGCTCCCATTTATGGATGCACAGAATGGGCTTCACTCTCACAATTTCCTTTCCCTCGTCCATCCCACTCCCAGATCAGTTTGATTGATCCATTGGGGTTACGTGTCCAAATCCAAATCCCCATCTGGAATCAAACTGGCTTTGAGGAATCCCTTCCTGTTTGCTCATATTTATGGATCCACAGAATGGGTTTCACTCTCACAATTCCCTTTTTCCCTTGTCCATCCCACTCCCAGATCAGGTTTGGTTGATCCATAAGGATTACGTGACCAATTCCAAACTCCCAACTGGAATCAACCTCACTTTAGGGAATCCCTTACTGTTTGCTCATATTTGTGGATCCATGGAATTGGCTTCACTCTCCCATTTTCCTTTTTCCCTCCTTTCCCTCCCTCCGTGGCTCAGGTGGGGCTGATCCATAGGAATTACGTGGCCAATTCCAAATCCCCACATAGAATCCAACTGGTTTTGAGGAATCCCTTCCTGTTTGCTCATATTTATGGATCCACAGAATTGGCTTCACTCACAATTTCCTTTTTCCCTCCTCATCCCTCCTTCTCCAGCTCAGGTGGAGCTGATCCGTAGGGATTACGTGGCCAATTCCAAATCCCCACCTGGAATCACACTGGTTTTAAGGAATCTCTTCCTGTTTGTGCTGAGCTGTATTTATGGATCCATGAGTTGGCTTCACTCACAATTCCCTTTTTCCCTCTTTTTCCCTCCTCCCTCGGCGGCCCAGGTGGAGCTGATCCATTGGGATTATGTGGCCAATTCCAAACTCCCAGCTGGAATCAGCCTCACTTTAGGGAATCCCTTCCTGTTTGCTCACATTTATGGATCCATGAGTTGGCTTCACTCTCACAATTCCCTTTTTCCCTCCTCATCCATCCCGCTCCCAGATCAGGTTTGGTTGATCCATTGGGATTACGTGTCCAGTTCCAAATCCCCATCTGGAATCACACTGGTTTTAACGAATCCCTTCCTGTTTGCTCCTATTTATGGATCCACAGAATTGGCTTTGCTCTCCCATTTTCCTTTTTCCCTCCTTTCCCTCCTCGTCCATCCCGCTCCCAGATCAGGTTTGGTTGATCCATTGGGATTACGTGTCCAGTTCCAAATCCCCATCTGGAATCAAATTCACTTTAAGGAATCCCTTCCAATTTGCTCATATTTATGGATCCACGAGTTGGCTTCACTCTCACATTTCCTTTTTCCCCCTTTTTCCCTCCTCCCTCCGTGACTCAGGTTTGGTTGATCCATAGGGATTACGTGTCCAATTCCAAATTCCCACATAGAATCCCACTGCTTTTAAGGAATCCCTTCCTGTTTGCTCCCATTTATGGATCCCCAGAATGGGCTTCACTCTCACAATTTCTTTTTTCCCTCATCCATCCCACTCCCGGATCAGTTTGGTTGATCCATAAGGATTTTGTGGCCAATTCCAAACTCCCATCTGGAATCAAACCGGCTTTAAGGAATCCCTTCCTGTTTGCTCACATTTATGGATCCCCAGAATGGGCTTCACTCTCACAATTTCTTTTTTCCCTCATCCATCCCACTCCCGGATCAGTTTGGTTGATCCATAAGGATTTTGTGGCCAATTCCAAACTCCCATCTGGAATCAAACCGGCTTTAAGGAATCCCTTCCTGTTTGCTCCCATTTATGGATCCCCAGAATGGGCTTCACTCTCACAATTTCTTTTTTCCCTCATCCATCCCACTCCCGGATCAGTTTGGTTGATCCATAAGGATTTTGTGGCCAATTCCAAACTCCCATCTGGAATCAAACCGGCTTTAAACGCGTTCCCTCCTGCCGGACGCGTTCCCTCCTTCCGGACGCGTTCCCTCCTTCCGGCCTTGTTCCCTCATTCCAGCCTCGTTCCCTCATTCCGGCCTCGTTCCCTCATTCCGGCCTCATTCCGGCCTCATTCCCTCATTCCGGCCTCATTCCCTCATTCCGGCCTCATTCCCTCATTCCGGCCTCATTCCGGCCTCATTCCAGCCTCATTCCAGCCTCATTCCCTCATTCCCTCATTCCCTCATTCCAGCCTCATTCCCTCATTCCCTCATTCCAGCCTCATTCCCTCATTCCCTCATTCCCTCATTCCCTCATTCCCTCATTCCCTCATTCCCTCATCCCCTCATTCCCTCATTCCCTCATTCCCTCATTCCCTCATTCCTCCCTCATTCC